ACGGCGCCATCCCCGTTAGCTTCAGTTTTGTTACGTAATGGTACTGCGAGTACACTGACACTTCCTAGTACTTCACAGTCCTTTCCAACTTTTGCTTGGGAAGTGGCGGATGTTCTTTCAGGGATTCTTTCGTACTTATGCGACGTTCATTAATAAGGCCTGACGTCGCCGCGCAGCTCAATGCCTCAACATGAATGTCTAATCAAAGCTGCTGATTCTCTACAAAGAGGGGACACGGTGGAGGAAAGTGAAGCCGAGGAGAGTGGAGGTTGGGGGGGGGGGGGGGGGGGGGGGCGTTCCGTCTGAATGGGGATTTATGCGGAAATGTCTTTGCAAAATGTACCAGCGTAAAAATCAAAGCTGTATCCACGGAATGTTTCAGATTTTTTTCCAGCGGGGGTATGGCTCAGTGGTAGAGCATTTGACTGCAGATCAAGAGGTCCCCAGTTCAAGTCTGGGTGCCCCCTATATTGGTGCCCCTTTTTTAACACATATCATTTCAACGAGAGCTGGATTTTATAAACGTGAGTTCAGCCCTTAGCCGTATCGTTTTCCCTTCCGTGACAAGTTTTTACATACGCTGGAAAAACGACTGACCGTGCTCCGGCAGGTGGGGGTATAGATCAGGGGTAGAGCATTTGACTGCAGATCGAGAGATGCCCCCTAGCTGACACCAGTGATATCTATTGTTAGGGTTAACTTTAAAGTTTTAAAGAAATCATTTCTAAGTCTAACGTGGCTCCTGAATTCCTTTTTTTTTTCTTAAACCAAGTATAAAACCCAGCTCAGTGGTAGAGCATTTGACTGCAGATCAAGAGGTCCCCAGTTCAAGTCTGGGTGCCCCCTATAAATGTGTATATTGGTACCAGGCTTGTGTACCTGTAAGTATTACAACGTGTGATACACTGTTGTAATTTTCTGTTTTAGAAGCGTGCGTATCTGACGGCGGTGGCGTTCTGTTTTATAAGCGTGCGTATCTGACGGCGGTGGCGTCGGCGTTGGCGGCTGCGTCTCTCGTCTCTTCATGTGTAAATTAGAGCTGGAGCTCAGTGTTTGACACGATGGAAACCCGGTGACAGTCAAGTTCCCCAGCTGCTCGGCATCTGCCGCCTCATTGTGTCGTTTGTATATTTAGAACACAACTGCACATCCACAGTACTGCCTCACCCCTCCTCCCCCTCTCTTCTCCCTCCATCCTCTCCCTTTTCATCGTGCCCCCCCACCATCCCCCGGACTCAACGCTGCCTCACTCGGTTTCCATCTTTTCAAGACATTCTCCAGAGAAAGAGAAATTTACTTTTGAAGCACAAACAATGCAAATATATGTGACTACGATTTTCTGGAACATGTTGAAATATTTAAAATGGCAGAAGTTTGTAAACAAAGAAAATGTGAAAACAGCCCCAGATGTCGTTTCCTCAGGGAAACAATATTAACAAGTTATTTAAAAAAATTATAAATTAAATATTGAACATTTCACACTGTAAACACTGAAGGTGTCATGTGACCTGAGCTGCTGCAGAAGATCTGAGATCTGTATCATTGACCTCATTGACCTCTAGTGTTATTTCCACTTCCACTCAGCTCCAGACGACTCGGCCCGAGGACTGTGGCTGAGATGAAACCAACCAGATAATCTAGATTATTAATACGACATTAATATTAACACGATGACGACAGTTCCTCCCTGGCTGTGACGGCACGGATAATTTATCTTCCCAATTACATTTCTGTTCCTCTGGTGACTGTGACACAACTTGACGAAGGGAAACTGATGATTTTTTTTTTTTTAACTTCAGCTTCACATTTCAAGTCATGCCAAAAGGATAAACTGCTCTTTCCACTCTTTCTAGAAACTTTCTTTGAACCAGGAAACAAACAAAACAAACAACGTGTGGGGAAAAAGAAATAAAATGTCTGCGTGTCATTAGTGCATCTAATCTGATTCCAAACTGAAATCTCAATCTCAATCTGCTCCTCTGTGCCTGTGGGTGGAGCCATTTATCACCGAGGCACCGAACTGCCACTGATCAACTCTGCCAACCACAGAAATCAGTGGTTCTCAACCTGGGGTTCGGCGGAGGACACGACTCACACACACACTGGCTGCAGGGAATTTAAAACATATACCTACGTCTTGAATTTGAAAAAAATCACATTTTATTTTTCCAATAAAGAAGGATTCAGTGAATGCGTTTTGTAACCGGTGCGGTTCAGTACCTCCGCTGTTATAAATCAAGTGTTTACATAAGTACATATGTTCTACATGTTTGTATCCACAGCCCTAATGATGTGATCACAGCGCAGCCTTCTGTTCGGCTTCATCCTTCTTTTTTATTAAGAACATTATTTGGCAAATGATTAATTAGACAGTGATACATGACACTTAATGAAAAAAAAAACTGGCTTCAGGAGAAAAGGCAAAGACTTGTGGAGGCAAGTCTGTGACCTGGGTTCAAACTCGGGTGGGAGTCGAACACCCGTCTGCCTCGGCTCGCTGACAAAAGGCTGCAGTGACGGAGGAAGTGAAGAGGGAGACGAATGTGTCTGTTAATATAGGACATTCTAAAAATGAGGGGTGAAAGTGATGTAGGGACGGGGGAGCGGGGGGGCAGGGGGTCAGCTGGGACAATTGTAACTGTTCTCATGGTTTTTAAAAAGATCAGAAGCAGAGAATCTGTTTCCGAAATCACTCACTCATTCCCGACTACCTACTGCCTCTCTAGGGAGTTATATGTATCGCACTATATAGTAATGAGTTAACCAAAAAACGCTTAATTACAACGGACTGTTGAACGCTACTCATCTCTCGGCCATGTCGTCACCCGCCCCCATGCAGTGCCCTATGTAGAGTGTAGGGGGCGCTTTTGGAGCAGGACTTTTCCTGAATTTGAGACACAGATCTGGGGAAAAGTAAGAAGAAACTTCTTCACCAGGAACCAGTTTTTCTCTGGTTTAATTGAAGACAATAACTGGGTCGCCACACGTGCACACACGGTACATGACTTCGACGCCACAACTTACTTCCTGCCTGACTGGAAGTCCCAGTTGTCGCTCAAGGACCTCAGGCCGCACCGATGTAAACCAACACAGACAGACTGAGGTCACTGAGGTCAGACTGTCACTTACTGGAGCAGTACGTCTGTCACTGTACGCTGAGTGAACCGAGGTAAAAGGTCATCTGTCTGTGTGTGTGTGTGTGTGTGTGTGTGTGTGTGTGTGTGTGTGTGTACAGGAATAGCAGCACTGGGATGCCTGCTTCCTCTGTCTTCCCTCTGCAGAGACACGGAATCTACAAGGACGTCTGACCTCCACGGCCATCCATCAAACACTGAGCTTCTCCAAAACTGTGTCATCGTGCTCAGCCATGCAGTCAAAACCAAAACAGTTTTGAAATTCAAGCAGAGAAGGTGTGACAAAAAAAAAAAACTCTCTCTCAAAGGGATGATGGCTCGTTTCCCCGTCCACAGGGAACTGGGAACGTTTACGGAGAAACCTCACAGTCAAGGACCACTGGAAAATAACTGAAAATGTTTTTGTTTTTTTTACATATCGACCCTAATAACACGGTATAAATCTACGATAACATGTTACGTTTGTGGACATGGTCAGGACTAGTCGTCACACCCTGACACTGAGGATGAATCTACTAAAAAAAAACAAAAAAAAAAACGTCAACATTATAAATAAAAAGCCCCGACCACTGATATACAACCAATGTTGTTCAAGGAAATGTAATCACGTCAACAGTTCCTCAGCACCAAGTGATCAAACCCGCTGCGTCCAAAGTCACTGAGATCTGTCAGGACTGAACAGGACTGGGTTTGTTTTACAGGCTTCAACAACGTCTTGTCAGGACTGAACAGGACTGAGTTTGTTTTACAGGCTTCAACAACGTCTCTGTTTGTTTCTACCTCAGCCAAACATCACATCCGTCTTCGGCCTATCTCTTAATTTGTCACATTCTATCCTGCCAACTCAGCGTGGTAACTGTAATTTGCTCGTAACATTAGTCATAGTGATCACAGTGACTAACTGATGTGATTCAGTCGTGGGAACAACGTGCTTGACATAATGAGTGTTACCAGGATATCCAGTTACAAAGTGTGGCATGTCTTCACATTAGTAATGCACAGGTGAAAGCCACTGCTGATTGGTCCGCAGACCGTCCCAGTACGGACGAGTACTTTCCAGGGTTTTTTCCCCCAAATATTTTATGTTGGTATCTACGAATACTGTTAAAGTATTCAAAACAGCATTGACCAATCAGGACAGTGATGTGATTTTCCCAGCGACAGATGTAAACGGATGATTTATTTTCTTGCTCACTTGCGTGGAGATGTATGGTAGCATGTATGGTGGTGCCTGGTGGTAAAGATGTAAACGGAGACAATGCGTGGAGACAATGAAGAGACATTTTTATAGTTGTAGCATGTATGGTGGTGCCTGGTGGTACTGCATCACAGGGACGGTGAAATAGGTATGTACTACAGTATAGTACTGTACATGTACTATACATTGCATAACACTGTATTTAACCACTGCACACATCAGGAAAGACAAAGTGATGATCATGATCCGCTAGTTTCAATTCAGTAAAACCTAGAAAGTCTGTTTGGTTGAACACGACACTGATTTACACACAGGTATTGAAGAAAGACACAAACTAAAAACCACATTCCGTTGTTCGGCCTGTCACCGTCTCAAAGATGAAAAGAAAAAATAAACAAGCATTAAATGAATAATAGTTTTCAGATCGATTAAATGAAATTAGATAATTATCCACGGTACAACTGATGATCTCTGAGGCCACATCAGCAGTTGACGAAACCACACATCAATCAATGGAGTGTGTGATAAAAAAAACACCAAAAGTTCCTAGAACTTTCACTGACTTTTATTATATTGTCGGTTGTTGACTGTTAATATTGTAAACGATTAGTGTCAGAGCTGTAACGTATGTAAAACCATATAGAATCATTAGTTGACGTTAAATTCCGTGTCGTACAATTAATCTATAATGATGGCGGAGATCGTTATCCCTAAACAGGAGGCTGTGAGCCCTGCCTTAATGACGTGAAAACCCTGACATCAGGAGTAAAGTTTAGGGACCAACGTAAAGTTAGCCACCTCGGAACCTTCACATCCGACAATATTTCAAAATAAGAGCTCATGAGTACAACGGAATTCTCCATAGTCTGCAGTATACGGTGTCCGACAGTCATTCGTCTTCATGTTGAAACCGCTGGAAAAAAAATAAAATGTTTCCACTTTTTTTTTTCCAACATCGAGATTTTTAGACAAAAGACCGGGAACTCAAAACGGACGTGTGTGGGTTTTTATTCTGGAAACAAAACAGGTCCAACTTCCGTTGTGATTCCTGTTTTCTTCGCGTACTTGACAGTTGAAACTTGGAGGAGGCCCTGCTTGGATTTGCAAAAAAAAAAAAAAAAAGCTGCTCACAGCCTAAAACGCCAACCAGAGCGTGAAGCGCAGCGAAGAAAAAAGAACGCTGTGCGGCGAGAGCAGTTGAACGGCGTTCGTGAGGAGAGAAGGAGCGGAGAGAGACGCGGAGAGACACAGACACATGGAGCTGCTACCGACCCGCAGACAGATGCGACGAGCAGACAGGTGAATTACGCCGCTGTGGGAATAAGATCACATTCGCTGCGGAGAGTCCGGCGCGTACGCACGACGCGCAATTTTCACCCCCCGAATCTGGCCAACTTTTACGCACGGACCTCTGGAGTTAAGACGCTGTGGTGATGACAGAAATGCTGCAGCATTCTCTGTTCACACGTGCGAGTTACACAGAGCAGCTCCACGGCTCGGTTTTAGGATAAAGAAAACGTCTTTGACCGTTTCCCTGATGTCACCAAAGATCTGAAAACAAATCGCACAATTTTCTGGGGGACGATTTTCGATTCACCGCCAGGTCTGTCTGGTCCGTGCTCCCCGTGCAGACTGGTACCTTTTTCAGACTGCTCTGCTCCAACATTTTTACGCACCTGTCCTGCCGCTGTCCATTCGAGGGACTTTTTTTTTTTTTTTTTTCAAAAGCAGCGGTGTGGTGGACGGAGTCAGACGTCTGGCCTGTGCGTGAGTCACGGGTGAGCCAACGTTTGGACACGCGGCGCTCGGAGGCACTGACTGACACAGTTGGAGGATATAAAAACGGTGCTCGCGCTGCACGGCACACGACACCGGGAAGAGGCTCTCGGTGCATTCGCGGGATTGGACGCCGAACTGCTAAATGCCCAGCAGGTCGCTTGCGGCTCCTCAGGCTGGGCGGCGACATGAAGTCCTGGGTCCGGCTGCTGCTGCTGGCTGTGCTCTCAGTGGCTGGTCTGCAGCTCGGCAACGCTGAGGTAAGACCCGACGACCTACGGTACGATACGATACGGGGAGGACGTGGGTCCAGAAAATGCGCAGGTTCTGACGGGTCTGTAGAGACCGGAATTAATGTGGAATCCAGTGATGTTCCAGGTCGTGAAATGTCAAAGTAACAGAAACTGTTTCAGGTTTTGGAACGAGGTTGAGCCAAAAAAAAAAAATTTTTTTTTTTTTTTTTGCGTGCATACTTTTGCCGTCAGTAACGCACTACTGGTTAAGTTGGCTGAAAGGTGATGAGTGTCTGTGACGTCCTGTCCCTGTGTTTTGGATTGTGCACCGGTGTTGTGTAAGCTGTGGACAGATTGAGTGGTTGTTGAGTTGACGCTGCTGATACAGTTACACCTGACAACATGACATCTGAACTGAACTGAACCAAACTGGGACTGGGAACTGGATGTCGGATAAATTGCGCCACCTGTGCATTCTAGCTGCAGTAGCTCCAGCTGCAGCCTGTGTTTTGTCTCTGAATGGCTGTGATTTTTCTCAACTACTGTAGTGAGGGGAGGAGAGAGAGAGAGAGAGAGACATAAGGCCTGTGTGTGCATGTGTGTGAAGAGAGGGTGAGGCAGGGCCTTGGCTTCTGGCCGAGCCGCAGAAAAGATAGAAGCTGGAGCTCCTCTCAGTTTAGCTGCTGATTTTTTTTAATTTATAAATTTTTTTTCTCTACCTCACCACAGCTGTATGAACGACTGTCACTCAGTCCTGGCAACAAAACTAACTCCATTCTGTCCAACCGTTCAGTCTCCAGGCGAAATGATCAGAATCTAAAAGAACAGCACGTTAATGGAGGATTACAGCCAGATTAGGATTATTATAATAAATTAAAATTACAGTGGAGTTTCAAGATTGGAGTCTAATCCGTTCCACAGCAGCTCATGTTGATCCACTCGTATCTCGACTGCATTTTTACCATTAAAAAAAATAACTAAAAACCAATTAATTCGTTCCGATATAAACAAATATATTGATCATAAAAACTAATAAGAAGAAAACATGATATATTATTGGTTTAAAAATTGGTAAAAAATAACCCAGAGAGGGACAGTGAGCGAGACAGCGCCACACAGTGGAGTGGGGAAATGGAGCTGGGTTGAGCAATCGATGTTTCCTCGTATCACGAGGAAAATCCTGGAAAAACACACTGGTACAGAAATAGAATTTTTACCAATGAATAAAAAAAAAATCCCTGAAATATGGCAATACCAGAAAAAAACACTGAGAAAAAAAAACACCCAACGTCTCCATGTGATGTCACTACAAGTTATACGCAGATCAACCCGATATTTTTTTTTAGGTACAGCAGTAACTTCACACACATCGTTACGACGACGCACCCGAAATCCTGTCGAACCGATTTGGCCGGAGTCCAAACGCGTTGTCTTTCTCCCGTTGGTCCGTAGCTACTCTACTGTCCCTGGTGGCGATCGTACACCTTCGTACACTGACTTCACTGTGGTGAGCTGCTGTTCTGTGTGACAGGTGGAGGCGGTGCGGACATCGGGGGTGGGGGGGACACAGGCGACAGCACCAGCCGGTACCAAGGCTAATTAGACTAATTAATGCTGATTATTCAGCTTTAATCAGTTTAACCTCTGGTTGAATTTCTTTGGCCTGGTTTGGTGTCTCTCGGTGTCACGGCACGGCAGGGACAGGGACGAGAGAATTGGTTCATGGACAGGATGACATGAAGACATGAGTCTCCAAAAACCCACAGAAAAGCGTTTCTACTGACACCTGCAGGTGATGACGAGCCGCAGGCCAGGAGCCGTGAAAGTCATTTTTTCAAAAGTCAAAGTGAAAAAGTCAAAGGAGTAAAGAGGAGGGGGAGGGGGTGACTAACCCACCGTAACCACCGCTGTAAAACCCCACAGTCACCACAACCAGCTGGTCGTCGTCGGCGGTGACACTTTGACGCCTGTTGTTCATAGTTGCGATGTCTCCGTTTGTCAGAGACGGGACGTCAAAAGGACAGGAATATTTTCCTACTGTCTCTCGCTGTGCGGTCGAACATCCGACAGCACAGATGACCCATTCTCACATGGGTCACATCACAGAGGATGTTCCACGCAGCATCCCACACGGCCCGAACGGAGCGCAGGCTGAACAATGACCCCTCACGGTCGTGCCGCTCCGCTGAAGACGGAGTCCTTTGTCCTTCTCAAATATAAATTAGTCATGCTTATCACTGCATCTCATCAACAAAGACGTGGCATTCTGAGACTTTGACGAAATGAGTCGACGAGGTCGGGTCGTCCGGGGACTTGGGCTTCACGCCGTGGAAACGGAGATAAACAAAGGGAAAACATTGGAGGTTTTTTTTTTTCCTCCTGCAGTGGCCAACTACAGTCACAACAATCACCGTCACTGTGATCCTCATCACTTGTCATAGTTACAGATAGCATCAAAACCACACTCTCTCAATTTGTCTAAAACTGAAGGCTTGAATCCAAAGCCACCGTTTCACTCCTGTCACACAGTATCCATAAAAACAGCCTCAAACTGCAGAAACCAGAAGGATTAAGTGCCTTGCACAAGGGTTACCCTGCTAATTACGCCGTTAAATCACCCATTCTGTAATTTTGCTGGATTATATTACACGCCTGTTAACACTTTCAGTGCCGCAGGATGCGATTGGCCGCGGCTGAAATGATCTGTCGTCGCTGTGTAAACAAGCACCGGCTGACCCGCCATGTGACCCCTGTGGTGACACAGCATCAGATGGAGGGCAGTGTGAGCGCTCGTCACACACTGACGTCCCCTGTGTGTGTGTGTGTGTGTGTCACCGTGTGAACTCAAAAGCTGAGGAAATATTTAGAAGAGCACGACGTCTGACACGTGGTTGATGTTTCAGATTTTGGTGAAAAAAAGAAAAGAAAAAGTTACAGTAGAGAAAAAAAAAGTTGTTTTTTTTTTACCTTGGTGGATTTTAAACAACGTCGGACTGTGATGTGGAGATGATCCGACGCTGGTCGGATTCATCCCTTTTACATAAGGACGTCGACTAATCTGCTGCAGGATTTCATGTACTTTGTGTGTGTTTCAGTGTGTGTTTCAGTGTGTGTGTGCACACATCTGTGTCAGTGGACGTATGTGCTCGGGGGTTTTTTCCCTCTCTTTTTAATGTGTTTGATAAGAGCAGGGTTTCTGTGTCTGTGCGTGTGTTACAGCACAGAGTGGTGCAGAAGGAGACATGGGCACAGCTCTTATATATACTGTATATATACATATATACACATATATGTATATATATATATACATATATGTGTATATATGTATATATACACATATATGTATATATATATATACATATATACATACATATATATGTATATATATATACATACATATGTGTATATATATATATATATATATATATGTATATATATATACATACATATGTGTATATATATATATATATATATATGTATATATATATATATACACATATATACACACAGTATATATGAGAACATGCAATATTTGAAATATTTGAAAAATAAATGTAGTTTATCGCCTCATGTTCCATAAACATCTCACGCCGTCCTGAGTTGATACCAGTTTGTCTTAAAGAAAGATGTCATTCTGTTTTAGTTGAGTAGAGAAATGAATATGAGAAAGAGGAACGTCAGCCAATAGGATGGTGTTATGCTCTCGGTCGACATCTCATCTGTGAGGAGTAGTAATTATTGAAATTACCACACGTTGTGCTGTGATTGATGTGTCTGA